GACTCTAATTTCGTCCACAACTCATACGCGTTCGTGAATTCAGACACGTGCTCAAAGAGGCTTTTATCAATATATTTCCTGATCGTGGCTACCGCCTTCCGACTCAGGATCTCCCACTCTTTATCAGTTTTTCCTGCTGGTCTCTCATCAAGGATAATGGGCTCATGTAAATCTTTGCAGTAGAGATGATCTTCCATCATCGGTCTCCAATAAGTGAAGTTGTCTGCGGTCAACTTGAACATATCTCCATCATGAGTTATGCCACTGGTCTTCATCTCGTCTCCCTCAGAACCAGTCGAACTCGGGCTCTGATACCACTGTTGGGAAAACTCGGTTCCCTCAAAGCTCGGCTCAGGGGCCTTTGTGCGGAAGTCAATCAACAAGATCCTGATCTCGAATCTCGGCAATACCTCGGCCTGAACTTCACCAAGTCAGGCAGCGCAGCGGAAAAACAATACGAAAAACAGGAGAGAGAGAGAAGAAGAACACAACCAGATTTAACGTGGGAAAACCTTCTCCAATGAAGAAGTAAAAACTCACGGGACCTAGTCCAGATCAAAAATCCACTATGAAAATAATGGTTACAAAGAATCAAATACACCAATGTGGTGGTTAACTCAACCTCTCCAACAATGGTGATAATCAAACTACCCTAGAGATGTTTCACTCAAACTCTCTCTAGAGATCTCTCAAATGCAAAGCATAAAGCTTTACTCAAACAATCAAATAATTTTTCTCTCAAATTTGTTCTTTCAAATATAACCTTTCAAATCTAACCTAGCCTCAACCCTCAACTAATGAGTATATATAGAGGAGGTGAAAATTAGGGTTAGGATTTTTAAGAAACCCCTCAAATGGGCTTGGGCTTAGCGTTGAAGGAGGAAGCCCAACATCATCTTCTTCTTTCATGTTCTTCTTTACTGTTTTGAATAATTAACTTCGCATGCTTTGCTTTTGTATGTAGCACAGTTTCAACATGACTTGAAAACCGGTTTGCGGGTTTTGATGAGAACCGTACGAGTTAAATGGATTCTGAATGTAAGCAACTCAAATTCAAGAAAATAAATAAACTTCAAACTTTTGAAATGTATCAGATATATCTTATTATTTAACTTCTAGTTTTCATATATGACAAAGCATTGCGAATATTTAAAAGGTAATATATGATCTGATCTTTTATTGATGTTTTTCGAAAGTGCTTCGTTAATTTCCAATACATTTCAGAAAAGAGATTTTGAGAGTTTTTTCATAAAGTATTTTCAAAAATAAAAAATTATAAGACTTTTTTTTTCTTTATTTGGAAACTTCAAATATTTATTGACTCTTCTATCAAAGATACATAAAGCAATAACTTATATATAGATAAATAAAATCTAATTTGAATATTATAGTTGCAAAAAGAAACATAAATACACAATACTGATATAAATTTGAAAATAGTAAAATAAATATGTTATAAAAGTATCATAATCCTTAGACTCGCACCCAAACTCTGGATTAATCTCATAGACGACTCAAAGAGTCGAACCCGTGAGAATACCGAAAGATTCTAATTCGCCTCGAAGAGATAATTACGATCAATTTTTTTTAAAAAAAAATGTTATAAAAGTTTGAAGCTCATATAAAATTTCTTACATTATCACGGTTAGTTTGCCGAAGTGATGGTTTATAGCCTGAGAATTCCTATAATAAACCTGAGAATTCCCATTTTTTATTCATATTCTTGGTTGGAATGATGGTTTATAGCCATCAAGCAACCAAGATTGATTTTTGTTCTACCGTTAATCTTTGATATTCCTCTGAGAAAATATCTATTTAAAATCTCTAATGGTATTGAAAGAGAAATTGAATGAAATTTTTTTATAGAAAGTTAAGTGATTGAAAAAATAGAAAATAAGTGATTCAAAGAAAAATTATAAGGGAGTTCTTGAATTTTTCTCTTAAAATAATTATCAAAATGCAATTAAATGAAGTTAAAAATTTATCTAAAATAAAAAAACTGAAAAAGTAACAACCATAATATTTCCAATTTCTAAAAATAATTCAATTAACATGTCAAAATAAATATAATAATCTTTTTTTTTTCTACCTAGTTACAATATAAGAATGAATCGGCTACGTTTTGGGTAACTTATGAATTAAGAAATGGGAGTCGTTATTCTAGACGAAGATGGACAATTATTGAGAGGGAGTGGAGGTCCGGAAACACCTTCTCGGGAAAAACTCCAATGCTCTTTAATTTCGGTTTTCGCCAATTCACTTTAAATGTGGAGCCAAGCCAAAAGAGGCAACAAGCACTCACACATCTTTATTATTAGCTTTTCTTTTATTAGGCATTATTTGACCTTAAATATTTCGTGTTTGACTAGTTGCTTGTAACACTTGCCAGCATTAGAAGAATTAAAAAAAATGGCATACTTCGCGGGACATACCTCGCTACCCAAAACCCATTTTTATCAATGAGAGTTGGTAGTTGGCACTACTACCGGAATCTTCTGCCCATATTAGTAATTAATTTGATGAAATTTGGTTTGTTTCTAAAAGAACCACCTCTTCGTTTTAAGACGAGCCAATCTTGGCAATGGCATCCACAAAGTTTTGCAATTCCAATCACAATGTTAAAACTGTAATATAATCTTTTCTTTTCTTTTGTCAAAACTTGCTCTGGTAGAGTACTAAATTCAGCACTGTCTCTGTAGTTCTTTCTGAACAAACGAGTTATTAGTAGCTGTTTGGTATGAGAATTTTGTTAGAAATCATGGGAAAGTAGGTGAGGCAAATTGGTTTTCAACGTTTGATACGAGGAAACTAAAAATAATATGAGGAAACTTTTTTTTTCATCATTCCATTTTAAATATGATATTCCTAAATGAAAATACTATATGATACATGGTATTTTTATTTTCTCATAATATCAGTAGAATTAACCCAACAATTTTAAAAAAAAAAATCGACCTACCAAACATCTTTTCATAACTTATTTAGGAAAAAAAATTTCTTACCATATTCGCAAAAATCTTTTTTTCCCGAAACAAAAAATATATATCCTCTATCAAGCGCCTTCTAAGAATATTCTTCTAAAGATTGGATTTTGAGTTCAATTTTTCGCAAAACTCTTTTTAGCTAGACGTGAAATTTTTTTCCTCCAAGTTTCAATAAGGGATTAGTCTCGTTCTTTTTCAAGTGATAATTATCCAATACATCATATGCTTTACTGAGGAGTTAGCTTTCAAAGGCAAGGTAGTGGAGGGGATTAAATGAGAATATTGCCTAGTTATAGGGAAAAAAAAAGGGTTTTTAATTCTTTTTCTAAGTTTTAATTAGCATGATGAATATTTTAGGTGATATGTAGTTTGTTAATTACTTTTTTAGCTGATATATTTTTATTTATAATTATAAAAATATTATATTATTTTTTCAAAAATGTCGCGAAAGAAATTATGAAAATAATTTTTAATTTTACGATTCATTCTATAAATACTTAAAAATAAAAAAATACTTTTATAGTGAGTTTGACGTTTCTCATTTTTATCCCAACAAAAAATTACTAATAAAAACATATTAAATAAAAATAAATAAATCAAACACAGTGTGCTCACCGGTGAATTGTGCTAAGCTTCGCAAGTTTCCTTGCTCTTTCCTTGTTCCACGAGGCAAACTAACATTCCTAATGCCACAGCTCATACAATGTGCTGCTTTTGTGGACGTGAGGGATCTTAGAATAAAATGCTTTACTTTCTGTGTCGTTCAAAACCCTTTTTATGTGACTTCATCTTCGACTTGGAGAATGTTCTTTGATTAACATGTAAGTAAAAGCTGCTTGGTAATAAATAAGTGGTTGCATATGAGTTGAAGTGATTTTTATTCAAATGTTCATTTTTAAAAATATAAAAGTAGCAACGTATATTCCGTTATTAATTTATGAATTCGAGAAATTTTCAATTAACATTACTTTTAACAATGTTGTGAACATTGTTCTAAAACGACGTGTTAAAAAATACTTCTAGTTTTATTTAAAAAATTTGAAAATAAATTTTCTTATGATGTATTATTTAACATGACCATGTATTGTTATATATTTTTTTCCTCTCATCCTTTTTTTTTTTTTAGCTAACCCAATCCTAAACCCCTCTCAAAAGTGATATACAGGTATGTGAGGATCGAATTGAGACGTTTTTTTTCTCCACTTACTCAACTTTTTTATTATCAACTGAACTATTATCGTTTAGTTTTTTTTCCTCTCATCCTTTATCACTAATAATTCACTCTTACATGGTCATATTAAGTGGGCGATTGGATGGTTTTATGTGTTTGGATAGTAATTTAAAAAAAATAAACAGAATTAAAAAAAGTTAAAATAATATTTTTTCTCATAAAAAAAATAAAAGGCAAAAGTCAAATAATTTTTTGAAAATTCAATTCTATCCCAACTCCACTCCACCCTACTAACACATTTTATATATAAAAAATGAAGAAGTGTTTGTCATTTTAAATAACATAATTTTATGTCATGTTTAATGAAATTACATTATTTTAGTATATTTTTGCATTCTCTCTCCTTCACTTTCTTTTCTTCCTAATTTTATAAAATATAAAAAATGTAAAAAAACACAATTTTTTTTTTACCAAAACAACTTAATTTCATTAAAAATGACACAAAATTGTGTTATTTAAAATAACAATTACTTTTTCCATAAAAAATTCTTATTAATTTTAATATCCAAATAATTTTGTTATTTAAAAATATTTTTTATCTATTCCATAGAAATATAAAATAGTTTTAATTTTAAAAAATATCATTTAAAAGAAAACCATAAAAATCCTTTTTTTTTTGTTGCAATAAAAAAATCCATTTTTTAAAAGCCTGTGAACTGTTATTTGAAAGCATTGAAAATTGCAAAATATTGTATACTTTGAACTTTACGGTTTTACCCTCAAATGTTGGCATCTCCCTCCTTTATATATTTCCCGTTTCCCCCTCCTTCGTTCACAAAAAAGAAGCAGTCTTTAAAGTTCCAACATGGCAATCATGTTCTCTACCTCTGCAATTCTTCTATCATTTCTTGCCCTCTTCCTCGCATTTAATCTTGCAAGTGAGTTTTCAACCAACCTTCTTGCAACCCCATAATTATCTGAATCTTTTGTATTATTACTCAACAACACCAACGTTCTAAAACCCACCTCTGTTCTGCGATTATCCATCCATGTGTTTCCTTTATCTACCGGCACGAGTTGTCTTCACGTTCTTGTCGTCATATTTGTTGTTTTCTATTTACCTATGTTGACACATCTTCACATGAAACGTTTCCCATTTTATATATTCTTTCAATTTTATTTTATTTTTAAAATATTTGCAATTTCAGCTTCAAGATTCATTCTTCTTTTCTTTATTTGTCTAATTTTCATATATTTTTTTACTGTGTCTTTTATTTTGTTACTGTGTTTAACTACTGAGTAACTCGATTTAGATAAACAAGAAAGTGAAGTTACTATTATTCTGTGCAGATTCTGAATCATTCATAGGAGTGAACTATGGACAAGTCGCCGACAACCTGCCACCGCCGTCAGCCACCGCGAAACTACTCCAGTCGACCTCCATCGAAAAGGTCCGGTTATACGGATCCGACCCGGCCATAATCAAAGCTCTGGCGAACACCGGGAAAGGAATCGTGATCGGAGCTGCGAACGGCGACATTCCAGCACTTGCCGGCGACCCCAGCTTCGCGAAAAACTGGGTCAGCACGAATGTTGTTCCTTTCTACCCCGCCAGCAACATCATCCTCATCACTGTTGGCAACGAGGTTATAACCTCGAACGACCCGAACCTGATGAACCAGATGTTGCCGGCGATACAGAACGTCCAAAACGCCCTCGATGCTGCTTCTTTGGGTGGGAAAATCAAGGTCTCTACGGTGCATTCCATGGCGGTTCTGAAGAGCTCTGAGCCTCCTTCCGCCGGAAGATTCGACCCTGGCTTCACCACCGTTTTGCAGGGTCTGTTGTCGTTTAACAACGCCACTGCTTCACCCTTTGCCATCAACCCTTACCCTTACTTCGCGTACAAAAGCGACCCTGGCAGAGCCGATAACCTAGCCTTTTGCCTTTTCCAACCCAACTCGGGCCGAGTTGACTCAAACACCAATATCAAGTACATGAATATGTTCGATGCTCAGGTGAGTCAAAATAATGTGATTTCTAGTGTCTTTATAATACATTTGTTAAGAGATATAATATAAATCATTAGTTAAACCCTTGGGGTATATTTTATTGGAATATAAAATCATTCACTAGTCTTTTAACAAGGGCAATTAGAGTTTTCATATTTTGAGTTCGATTATTGGGGTGTGTTAGCTTTTAAGTTTTGAAAGAGTTGGTTCATTACATTATTGAAGGTGAGATTGCCTACTGTAAAATGGGAGGAAAAAGGGCTCTGGAGTGAGTGTTTACGATGTCAAAGGTTCAACTCTTTACATGTGCGTGTAAGGTGCTTTATATAGTGGTGCTGGAATGGAGTGTGTGGTTTTGGGATCATCATTTTAAGTGAGGAGATGCATTTAGTGTGTAAACAGGGCTGGGATTCTGATTAAGCTAATAAATGAGGTATGAAGCTATGTGGGGTGAGGGACACGGACAGAACAAGTGATAACATGCATGTTATGTTTTGTGCAGGTTGATGCTGTTCGGTCTGCTCTGGATTCTATGGGGTTTAAGAATGTTGAGATTGTGGTTGCGGAGACTGGGTGGCCCTACAAAGGAGACAGTGATGAGGTTGGACCAAGTCTTGAGAATGCTAAGGCTTACAACGGTAATCTAGTTGCACACCTGCGATCCATGGTTGGGACCCCACTGATGCCAGGGAAATCAGTGGACACATACCTCTTTGCCTTGTATGATGAAGACTTGAAGCCTGGACCGGCTTCTGAGAGAGCCTTTGGCCTTTTTAACACTGATCAATCCATGGTCTATGATGCTGGCCTCTCCAAGCAGCAGAGTCAGGCTAGTACCCCAGTGCCTGTAGTAGCCCCGGTATGAATTCTATGACTATATTATACCCCTATATTAAATATTGTCATTAATTAATGGACATGATCACATGAATTAGCCACCATTTTGCAGTCTTTGATCAATTTCGTAGTTCTCATCTTGAAGCTGTTCTAGACTTGTAGTCTAGCAGTATTTAACAATGTATTTCTTAATTTGATTGAAGACTCCGGATGTGTCAAAATCTCCAGTCAATACAGTGTCTCCAGTGATTCCAGCTCCAACTGGCCGTCAAGGTCCAACACCAAATAGTCCAACACCAAATAAAGCAGAACTCTTAAATGGACATGAAGCCACCATTATGCAATCTTTAATCTTCTTCACAGCACTCATCTTAATGCTGTTCTAGTAGTATTTAACAATATGTTTTCTTTAATTTGATTTCAAGACTACTCCGGATGTGTCAAAATCTCCGTTGACTCCAACAACGCCGAATAATAAAGCAACATGGTGTATGCCAAAAGCAGGAGTAACAACTGCGCAATTACAAGCAAGTTTGGATTATGCTTGTGGGCAGGGTATAGATTGTAGCTCAATTCAACCAGGAGGAGCTTGTTTTGAACCAAACACATTAGCAAACCATGCTGCATATGCCGTGAATCTCTTCTATCAAACTTCTGGACGAAATCCATTGACTTGTGATTTCTCCCAAACAGCCATTTTATCATCGAACAATCCAAGTAAGTTCCCATGTTATTCCTTTACAGTTTGTGTTGACATTACGGGGATCAAATCATTTGATTTTATTTAATTAGGACTCAACACCATGCTATCTTGATGATACATGCGTTGCATGAAAGTTTATGTTGTACTTTGTTCCACAAAGGATCATATGCTCTGACTTCTAACTTATTTAAAAAAAAAAAAAAAAAATTATGGCTGCTTTTGGTGTAGGTTTGGTTTTTACCTTGATTGAGTATAGTGAGATCATCCCACTAATTCAACATGCTCACTTTACAAATTTTGTTCTTTTGTTTATTTTGTAGGTTACAATAATTGCGTTTATCCTGGAGCAAATGCCTAAACTAAAAAGCAAGAAAGTAAATAAAGGAGGGCACTTTTTATTGTTTTAATTATTCTCTCTTAATCGCTAAGGAATGTTCTGGTTCTGGGAGCTCTCCGAAATAGAAGAGTGTGCATGTATGAAGGAGGATTTTCCTCTATTTCTTGTGTTACCTTTTTTTTAATGTCTCTGTCAGATGCAAGATGCTGCATTGTTTATGATGTGTGAACTGTGAAGCGTTTTTTTGGTATATTATGTTGATTGATTGAGTCATCGTTTGAAATCTTGGGGTCCATGTATATGTACTTGTTCAGTAATATAAATGAAATTTTCCTCTCTTAAATTTTGGCCATGTTTCATTTTGGTCCAATAAATCATTTGTGTTGTTTCAAACTTGTTATTGATCTTATTAAAATATAATCGAAATTAATCACGAATAATGGTTCATTTGACAAAATAAACCTCATACGGATTGACATTATCTACAATGCAGTAGATTAATGTTCCATAATCAATGCGTTTATTTAATCCCTTAAAATAGTATGGAAACAAACAGAAATTGAAAGTCATAGGTCGGAGAAACCAATATGCCACGGTAATTTAATTACTCCTAATTAGGGGAAGATAAAAAAATGTGGTAGTGTTATCAAAAAAAAAAAAAAAAAAATGTGGTGGTCACTGTTCGAGGTGCATAACTATCCGTTTTCCATTACTGCGAAAGGAAAAGGATTAAATGAACAACCTTAAGGAAAAGGAAAGTTATTCAAGTAAAAGAAATATAACCAGCCTTGAGGAACAAAAAAAACTCGTTCTCTACCCGTTATGTTGGGGTAGTAATTTTTAACACGACATGATTATAATACGAAAAATTTGTATTCGGATGTACTATTTTTAAATTCAGTGTTATATTTGTTTTAAGCATGATTGTATTCGTGTCATAGCTTATTAACCTGAATTGACACCTCTACTGGGGTGTTGCCGTTGTTTTTGTAATGTTACCTGCATCACTTTTTACATTAAAAATGCTTGAAACTATGTTTTATTATTGAACTGGAACTTCCATTAGTTAATTCCCCCCCAAAAAAAAGGGTTGTTTTCTTTCGACATTATTACTAATGGTATGTTTTATTTTACTTAAATGCATGTTTAGTGACGCCCAACGTGATTCTGTCAGAAGAATAATATGTTTTATTGTTTTAAATCCAAATTAAGTCTTTTTCTAAAATTATTTTTAAATTAAAAAGAACAAAAATATAAATTTAACATTAGATTAAATTTTTCATACTAAATTTTATTATAAACTTATTTTTGAGATAATTTTTTTAACATAAACTGTTTTAATTTAAACTTTAAAAAAAATTAATTTTATAAAATTGTAAAACTATTTAAAGTCCAAGTTTACAAATACTTACACAAAAATGCAATAGAAAATTCCCTATTTCAACTACAAATACTAAAGCTTTGTTTGAGAGTTGATTTTAGGAGGAGAAGGAGAAGGAAAGGAAAAGGAGGGTTTTAGGAGGGTTTGAAGGAAAGGGAAAGAAGGGGATCCAAGGGAGAGGGAGGGAAAGAAAATTGGAGAATATTCCCTTCTCTTGTTTCGGAGTTCAAAAAATGGTAAGGAAGAAAAGTAGAGGGTTAATGAAATATTTTACCATTTTAACCTTTTTTAAAAATTAATATAACTATTATATTTTACAAATAAATTTAAATTTAAATTTTTTAACAAAATTATTTATGTACTTTTCATACCACTAAGATAGATCATATTTTCGACGAAAATTCCAACGAAAAAGTACTTTTTCCTCATAACACTTTTCGATGAAACGCGACGAAATTTTTTATTCGTCGAAATTTTTTATAAAAATAATTTTTCAAAGGATTTTAGTTTCCTTCAAAAGTTTTTATGAAAATAATTTATAATATTTTTTGACGAAAAAAAGAATTCCGTCAATAATTTTAACAAAACATTTCCCATCCAAAATTTTCGTTGGAAATGTGTTCTAATGAAAAAAAAATTGTCAAAAATTTTGAGGAAAATTTTCCTCTCAAAAATTTCGATGAAATTTAAATTCCGTAAAAAAAATTGACAAAAAAATCTCAAGGATAACTCAGTTGGCAACTGAGCTCCCAAAGGTTTGCTTGAGTCAGGGGTTCAAACCCTGCCTCAAGCAAATTCTTGAAAAATCTTTGGGGTAAGAGGATGTGACTCCCTCCTCGAATGGGGGACTAGTCTCATCCTTCCCCTGGTAGCGAAGCTTAATGCACTCGCTGTTCCAATGAGGGGCTAGCTTATAGGGCCATAGCCCGAGAACAAGGTGACCGGAGGAAGTTGAATGGGGATACCTCCAGGTTATACCAAAAAAAAAAAAGAATTTTGACAAAATATTTTTTCCATCAAATTTTTTTACAGAAATATCTATTGTCAAAATTATTTATGAAAATATTTTCCGTCAAATTTTTTTGATAGAAATGTGTTCTATCGAAAAATTTGACAGAATTTAGATTCTGCAAAGAATTTTGACAAATTTTTTTATGCAAATATTTTCCTTCGAAAAATTTCGATTGAAATGTATTTTGTGAAAATTTTTGATGAAAATATTTTTCATCAAAAATTCCGATGGATATATTTTTGTGTCAAAATTTTTGAGGGAAATGAATCGAGGGAATTTATATTCCAAAAAAAAAAAAAATTTGTCAAAATTTTTTATGGAAATAATTTTTGTCAAAATTTTTTACGTTAATATTTTTGGTCAAATTTTTTGTTGTAAATGTGTTTGTTTGAAAATTTGATGGAAATGTTTTTCGTTGAAAATTTTTACGGAAATATTTTTCGTAAAAAAATTTGATGAAATTATTTTCTGCCAATTTTTTTTATGGAAATGCGTTTCTTCAAAAATTTTGACAAAATTATTTTTCGTTGAAAAGTTTGGCAAAAATGTTTATGTCGAAAGTTTCGACGGAATTTAGATTCTATCAAGAACTTTGACTGAAATTTTTTTCCCCTAAAAAATTTATGTCTGTGATTATGAAAAAAAATTATTCCATTTCTAATTTTGTCTCTAGTTTCGACGGAGATTTTTCGTCTCTATTTTTGACGTAATATGATTTTTGTCAAAAATTTCATCATTATTTTCTAAGAAATTTTGTCTGTCGATAAACTCTGTTGGTATTTGAGACTTTTCTAATAGTAACACATTTAAAAATGATTTACATTTATTTAGTTTTAAAATTTTAATGCTAAGGGAAGATAAGTAGTTTTCATTATTTCCTCCCTTAAACCCCCCAAGTTTGAGGACTTTAATTTTAAGGGTGAGAAGGGTTTTGTAAAAATCTCCAATTTCCTTCCTCCTTTTTTTTTAAACTCACAAACAAGGGAAGAGATTAATAAAAATTTTCTTTCCTTTCTCTTCTAAAACTAACTCCCAAACAAAGCCTAAGGGGTTGTATGGTTCAGGGTTCAAATCATGGATCATGTAACTTCTTGAAAAAAATTTGGGACCAGAGAACGTGTCTCTGTCCTTGAAGGGTATTAGTTTCATCATTTCTCCGGTGGCATAGGGTGTTCATGACAACCATTCTGTTCCCTAACACTGTTTATGAAAAAAAATATTTGATAACATATTCTATTTTTATTCCGAGAATAAGAATTGAGTTTGAAAACACAACAAATAATATAATAAAAAATAATTCATATTAAGCATAATTTTTTTTCGGATCATCACTTTCCTTTCCATATAGTGTGGTGGCGGCATGGCGGTGGTAATGGTGGTGACGGCAGTGGCTGCGGTGATGGAAGTGGTGGCAGTGGTGGTGACAATGATGGTGGTAGTGGTGATGGCATAGAGGTGGTAGTGACATAAGTGGTTGCAACGACGGTGGTGGTGATTGGTGGCGATGGTGGTGGCGGTGGAGTGGTGATGGCATGATGGTGGTGATTGCGGCAGTGGCTACAGAGATGATGGTGGTGGTTGGTGGCAGTGGCGCTAGTGATGGTGTGGTAGTGGTGGCGATGGTGGTGGTGACGGTAGTGGTTGGTGGCAGTGGTGATAGTAGTGGCGATAGTGGTGGTGACGGCAGTGGCTGTGACGATGGTGGCGGTGGCGGTGGTGACAGTGGTATGATGGTAATGATGGTGGTGATGGTGGCGGTGGCATCGTGGAGGTAGTGACGACGACACTGGTAGTGCAACGACTGCGGCGACGATGGTGGTGGAGATGATGATGGTAGTGGTGGAGAGTGATTGAGAGAGACAATTATTTTTCATTTTGTGCTCGAGAACAAAAAAATAGAAATTTTTTTATTCTTTTTTCTGTTCCCCAACAAAAAAATTAAACTGGTTCATTAGGGAACAAAAAAAATAAACCGATTTTACCAAACGAGTTTTCTATACATTTCGGGAGTGCATGACAACCATCACCACCACCTCCACCCATCACTACTACCATGCCACCGTCATCACCACCACAACTACTAGTGCTACCACCACCACCACCACCAATATCACTGTCACCACCACGATCACCACTACTTCCATCTACCACCACCACCATTATCGCAACCATTGTCATCACCGCCACCATCGTCATCACCACGTCACTGCCACCACCACGATGCCAACTCTACCATCACCACCACTACCATTGTTGCAGCAACTACCGTCACCACCACCCCCGCCACTATCATCACCACCCTATCGCCAACACCACCACCACTATCACCAACCGCCACCGCCACCGCCACCAACCACCATCCCCACCACCATTGTCGTAGCCACCGCCATCAACCACCACAACCACCATCGCCACCATTACACCACCACCGCCGCTGCCGCTGCCACCATCATTGTCACAACCACTATCGTCACCACCACCACCATCGCCACCATTACACCACCCTCGCCACTACCATCACCACTGTCACCTACCACCACCACCGCAGCCACTACCACCACTAGGGGTGGCAAAAATGAGCCAACCCGTTGGGTTGTCTCGTAACCCGCACAAAACGAGCCGGGTTGGGTTGGCAAAAATGAGCTGTCAGCTCGATTTAGCCCGACCCGAGCCAACCCGGGCTCAAACGAGCCAGCTCGCGGGTTGAACGAGCCAGCTCGTGGGTTACTCTTTTTTTTTTTTTAATAAAATACAATGGACTTTACTGATGGATTCTCCACTGATGGAATTTACTATATTGGTCGCTTTTGCAGGTCCTTTTTTTTCATGATTGGCTTTTGATTCTAGATGCTTATCGTTGAAATATATAATGGATTTCTTTTATTTTTTATTTTTTGGCTTTATATACGTTTTATGGTTATCGTGAGTTAGAGTAATTCAAAAAATCATGATAATTGACTCCTGTGATTCGTGGAGTGGTTTGTGTTTCATTTAATGTTTTTGGATTTTGTAAACTACTCTACTTGTAGTTGGACTGCAAAATACAATAATTTTATACAGGAGAACAAACCACAAAAATTAAAATTTTTGAGCCAACCCGCGAGCCAACCCACTAGCATCATTTCGAGCTAACTCGCGAGCTTTTTTTGAGCCAACCCTTGAGCTTTTTTACGAGCCAACCCACGAGCTGATTATCGAGCCAACCCTAACCCGGCTCGGGTCGAGCCGGGTTGGGTTTTCTGGCTCGTTTTTTTTTTCGAGCCAACCCAACCCATTTTTTTCGGGCTGAATGCGGGTTGGGTCGGGTTGAGCCGGGTTGGCCCGTTTTGCCAACCCTAACCACCACCACCACCATGATGCCATCACAACCACCACCATAATGCCACCGCTACCATCATCATCCCCACCACCATTGTCGCAGCCACTGCCGTCACCTCCACCACCACCATCCCCACCACTGCCACTGCCTCTGCCACCATTACCACCGCCATCGCCGCAGCCACTGCCATCAAAACCACCTCCACCACTTTCATCACCACTTCACTGCCACCACCACTACCGTACCGCCGCCGCCACCACTATGCCACCACAACCACACCATATGGAAAGGAAAGTGATTATCCGAATTTTTTTTTATTTAACAGGAATTATTTTTTAGAGTAAATACCCTTTTTGGTCCTCAGCAAATTTCACGATGCCCGCTTTAGTCCCTAGCAAATAAAAAGGCCCATCGTGGTCCCTAAGAAATTCAAAATGGACCCATTTAGTTAAAATCGTGGTCCCTCATAAATTCAAAAAAGACTTATATTAGCCCTTAAAAGAACTAAAATGAGTCCATTTTGAATTTCTTAGGAACCACGATGAGCCTTTTTATTTGCTAGGGATTAAAGCGGGTATCGTGAAATTTGTTGAGGACCAAAAATGGTATTTACTCTATTTTTTATTATATTATTTGTTGTGTTATCAAACACTATTCTCATTCTCGGAATAAAAATAGAACATTTTATCAAACACATTTTTTTCCTCAGAAACTGTTCCAAGGCACAGAAATAGAAAAGAATTATTGCTTTTCAGAAGCAGTGCTAGGGAATAGAATGGTTGTCATGCACACCCTTCTATTCCCGGGAACAAAAAAAAAAACTTATTTCGGGAAGGTTGTCATGCACACCCATAGCCCAATGCACCAGTTGTTCCAATGAGGAGGTGTCTTTGAGGCCATATTTTGAGGATAATGTGGTCGGAAGAGGTTGAACGAAGATACCTATAAATTTATACAAAAAGAAAATGGCAAAAAAAAATTTAGTTATTATTATTATTTTGCTAGAATGGCAATAGGGAATTCCCTTAATTAGCATGAAGTGCGCCATAAATTGAAAGGCAAATACATGTAAAAGTATAAAGTTTTGCCAAACCGCAAACGTGGATAGCGTGGTTGAGGTGAAAAGACTACAATAAAAGTGACTCGTCATTAAAACAAGACAACGCTCAACCAAGATAAAAATGGACCACTTTTACCAAAAAATATAAAATAAAAATGAACCACTTCAGCTTACCCAAAAAATTAAAAAGGAAAAAAAAAATTGAACCATTTTTCCAAAGTATAACATAGACGTGGCTCAACATGTTACAAGTCTTAACGCCATGTGATTAATAAACAGAGACACAATCAAACACAATACAACGTTGTTCTGTTACGAGGTTCCGACTATCCCTGAGGCCTGAAGTGATCTCGTTAGAGACACAGAGAGAGATAAAAGGAACAATAATAGGAAAAAAGAAGAAGATGGCTTCAACGAGAGATCTGGAGCTTCTGATTCCGGTGTCAAGCATCTCTGAAAATGGATGCTCTAAATCATCTTCAACTTCTTCATCACCTGGTGTTATCTCAAACCAACATCACTCTGGCCATGAGGTTCGTTTATATCTTCCTTATCCAATTATATCCTGTGTTTTTATGTGAACGTCAAAAGAAGATGCCATAAACGCATTACATAATGACCCTTCTTCTTTCTCCTTGTTTTCTTTTACGAAATTAAATTTCTTTGCTCACTTATTTTATTTTAGGCCTTTTCAAAAGTGATTCGCAGCTGGGCCTCAAAGAAGTTTATGACAGGATGGTACGTACGTTTTGTTCATTTCTATGATTATGTCCTTTTTTTTTTCTTTTTTTTCTGGCTATGTTATAAGATATGCTTTGATGCTGTTAAAAGTGTTAATTATATAGCTGATCTATTTGACTTTTGTGCTTGTGTGTGTGCCATGATTGTGTCCTTGTTAAATGAGAAAGAAACAACAAACATATGATTAATCCCTATGCCTTAAATATACAGCGGAGCCACTATTATATAATTGAGTAAAGAGGAATACGTAAAAATAATACATGGTTGCCGATTATTTTTATGTAGACTACTCTATATACATTAATACTTCAATAATTCTGTTAGGATTTGCATGGTTACCGATTCAGGTAGTGAATGAAAGACAAATCGAAATACTTTTAACTTAGTTCAAATGGTTGAATGGGTGAGAATTTTGGTAGAGGTCTTAGGTTTTATTTTTATGTACCAAAAAGAAATTGAAAACCAATTTTAGTTCAAATGAAGTTTTACTTGTTTATAGAGTAACGTTCATGAAGGATTGACAATAGTAACATTCATAATGCTAGTGACATTTTGGATTTTTGAATTATGGTTTGTCTTCCTTTTTGTGAAACATTATTTTTGACATTCTTATCAGAAATGTAATGTAATTTGCAGTGTCATCCTTCTTCCCATCGCTATAACATTCTATGTCACTTGGGGATTTATCACCTTTGTTGACGGTTTCTTCTCCCCTATATATAATCATCTAGGGATCAATATTTTTGGTAAGTTCTTGCAATCTCTAGCATTGTGATTCATAAACATGAGCTCTTTTCTTTACATTAGTTTAGATTGTTCAAGTCTTTGACCATGTGGTTGGTTATATCTATAAAAGGGCATTGATATATAAGACTCTGATGTATACATGAAGTTTAACCATATATATAGGCAAGCACTGTAGCATTAGGGCAATAAATTGTTACAGGCTTTTAAGAACTTGCACAATAAATGTAGGAGGTTGGCCATATTTTGGGGCAGTGGCAGTGCAATTTTCTAGTTGAATGATATAAATTGCTACAGAGATCCATTTTATAAAAGCAATGCTTCCCTATACATGCCTTTTCTTTTAATTGGAAGCCAGAGGGCGACAGAAAAATCAAGTGATAACCATATCCCTTCCAAAATCAAAATGATAGTTTCATATGATAAATTTCAATGCAATATATCCCTTGCAAAATCAATATCATCAAATATTTATCCCATCTTGTAAGAGATATTATCATGTCTTTTAATTAATTAATTTGGACAATTGGCAGGTTTCGGATTTATTACCTCCATCACTTTCATTTTCTTAGTTGGAATTTTCATGTCATCATGGTTAGGAGCTTCTGTTCTCACCCTTGGCGAATGGTTCATCAAGAAAATGCCTCTTGTAAGCTATATATATGCTGCCTCCAAGCAAATAAGTGCAGCAATATCACCGGGTATATTTCACAATATATTCACCTAATTAATTGTTTGTCCTTAATTTCTTTCATGTATTCAGCTCAATACCTTATTTTCACTTACTTCATAGATCAAAGCTCTAATGCATTCAAGGAAGTAGCCATCATAAGGCATCCTCGTGTTGGTGAGTATGCATTGGGATTCATCACTTCTTCAGTAATACTGCAAAGGAACAGAGATGAAGAAGAGCTTTTTTGTGTTTATATTCCCACCAATCACTTGTACCTTGGAGATATTTTTCTCATTAGCCCAAATGATATTCTGAGGCCTAATTTGTCTGTTAGAGAAGGGATAGGTACGAAGGTTCATGACCAAGTAATACTGGATTATCTTTTTATTTGATTAAGTACAAGAGGAAGAGGAGAGATATTCTTACTACCAAAAAAATTCACTACCAACCCATTGTCTATCTAATTACTATTGGATCAACATTTTTGCCCTCTTTAGAAACTTTTCATTATTCTCTCTTTTTGATCCAATAGTGATTAGATAGGTAGTGAGTTTTTTTGGTAGTAAGAATATCCCCCTCTAAATATAATTTGCTTATGATAGTTTTAACATGCAAGTTAATTTCAATATGTTACAGAAATTGTTATATCCGGTGGCATGTCAATACCTCAAATATTGACTACAGTGGATGCTCAAGCCAAATTGCCCACAAGAAAGCCATCCTTTGCAACATCACAAGTAAAATAATGGTATAGTTTGTGAGAAAAGTATCTGTTTATTTCAACTTTAGTTTTCCCTTAACTAGTAAATAGAATTTTCTGTTTGTCTTCTAGGTTGCCCTTTATAATTATTCTATGACTCAAACCATATGTTCTACGATTGGTTAAAAACTTGGAGAAAGTGATGTGGTCATTTAGGCTAGAGTGAACGCAAACGGACACCTTCCCAAATTCCCCAATCCCAGAAAATAGGCTCTGAAAAAACTGAATGAGGATAAGTAGAAATAGAAAAGTCCTTAATGTGATTGTATTTTTTTTTTCCTTATTGGTTTTATTGCACAATATGCCACTAACTTCTTCTGTGAATAAAAAGAAGATGGTATTTTGACCACATGAATCTAAATTCGGAATCAAAGGTAACGATGAAATTTCATTTTTGTTTTAATTATTATATGACATTAATATTTAATTATTAATTAGATGAAAATTATAATAGGAGTAAATATTTTTTTTGGTCCTTGGCAATATCTACGAAATCATTTTTAGTCCCTGACAATAAAAAAGGACCAAATTGATCCTTAAAATTATTAAAAAAAGGGTCATATTAGTCCTTATGTCAACTCCTCCGTCACTAACGTGGCCCTTTTTGCATACTGTTAGGGACCAATTTGGTCTTTTTTTATTGCCAGGGACTAAAAAAGATTTCGTAGATATTGCCAGGGAAAAAAAATGATATTTACTCTTATTATAACAATAAGAGGTGCAAAACAAATTGATTGTATCGAAGTTGGAGTATGGCAATTGGTGTATACTGTATAGACTATTGGCATCTTTAGATAAATGGGCATTAAGCTCGAAAAGAGTACGAACTTAACTTGGAGATAACTCGGCCGAGTGAAAACAAAACTTAAATTTGAGCCTATATATATATATATATATATATATATATATATATATATATATATATTGAATGAGAGGACGGTTCTTTTAACTCACATGTAAGTAGGGATGTAAATATGTTAGGGTAGGCTTTGACTTAAATAGGTCAGACCTCTATAAAAAATATTAGATCATCTTGGCTTGTTAGCCTGTATAGGCCACAAATTACAAGTCTGGCCTTACTTATATTTAAAAAATAAAAGTTTTGGCCTAGACCTATTAGCCTGTTTAAAGCTATTAAACATTCAATAATTAAAATAATAACTATAATAATAATAATAATTTTATTTAAAATAAATAATATAATATAGGTCGGCCTGTACAAAAAAGCTTATGACCTATTTTTCTAAATAGGTTTATTTAAAAAGCCTAAGCCTGTTCTATTTTACTATTTATAATAGGCAAAGTATGGCCTAATATATTACACCCCTATGTGTAAGATTAAGAAGTCTTATTATCCATTTCATTCATTGATTTTTGTCCATTTAATGGCTGTAATATATTTGAAATTAATAATTAATTAATTTATATAACCTAATAAATTCTAATCATTAGATTGACGAAAATTAATAGCTGAAATGAGGAGTAAGACTTCTTGATCTTATATTCGAGTCAAAATATTGATGTTAATTGAATTAATTATCATTATCTAAATCTTTTTTTTTTTGGTATGCATCATTATCTAAATCTCTATTAGTCCCCTGTTCGTGTATTTTTCACCACAAGTTATAAGTATTTAGTTATAATTGAAAACGAATTGAAGTGTTCTCATTTAAGTTCTTTTATTTAAATAAAAATCAACAATCTTTTGCATTTTTTTGGGGGGAAAGTGCTTATAATCTACTCATGTCATGTATAATAACAGTTGGTTTAAATATTAGTATTATTTAAAAGGGAGACGATGCTTTGATACTGATGTCAAATTCAATTTAACATTAAATGTTAACTCTTCATTCTCACCAATCTGACGATGATAATTATTGAAAATTAATAATTAATTAATAAGTGTGACCCAATAAATTATAACCGTTAGATTGACAAAAAACAACGGTTAAAATTTAATGTCAAACTTTTTAATTTTATACCAATGTCCAAGAATCTTACCTCTATTTAAAATTCATTATTTACAGAAAATAGCAGTTGAACACTAATCAATAGAAATATACGTTTTTTTTTTGGTAGATGGGGAGGGCAGAACGCTCTAAAAAAATAAGATTACTTAGACACAGATAAACTATGATTCCTCGAGGAACCATAGATATCAAAATTCATTAGATGAACTAAATTAGGAGGAGGTTGAATGAAAATTCGCAGATTCTCTTGTTGGGCTAACCCTTGCTTTGCAAACCAATCAACACATTTATTGGTGTCCCAGGAGGCATATTGAACACAGACTTGCCAATCTTTTTGAAACCAGCTTCGAATTCTGGTCACCAGGTGGGGCCTTCTAGCATCATTATCATTACCAGTGAGCATGGAAATAACATTTCTTGCATCTCCTTCCAAGAGTATTTTCTTTATTCCCAAGGTCCATGCAATTTCTAAACTAGTTAGAGCACCCCAAAGTTTTGCATCAATAGGATTACATATTCCTATATGGCGTGAAAACCCCCGGATCCAACAACCCTGAAAATCGCGGATAATGCCTCCACACCCAGCTTTGCCAGAGATAGTATGAACAGCCTTATCAAAATTTACTTTCATCCAATTTTCTAACGGAGGCAGCCATCTCTGGGGGCTTGGTTCTTGACCATTGTGTATGTTATGTGGTTGTAGAGTCGAACACCAAGCAAACTGGACAGAGGCTATATAGTCGACTATAACATTCTGAGGTTGAGTTCGGCTTATACGAAAAATTTGTAAGTTGGATAAACATGAATTTAGATGGAAATTAAATATAACTTGTGGGAATAATTTATATCACGGAAAAATGTATATCATTTTAAAGGATATAAAGTTGTGTTATTTTAAGTAAGAGAAAGAGATAGATTATGGGGAAAGAGAGTATACAAAAAAAAGTAAAGATGCGGGTATCACCTCTTTGTAAGAGTGAAATGACACAAGTTGTGTCATTTTAAAGGACAAACACTTTTTCCCAGAAGAATATATATATTTTTTGTTTCCCCGCGTGTTCCTACTTATTTGGATGAGACTAATCTCCTTCATAGATAGAGTGTAAAGATTTTTGCTATTGGCCCCAAGTTACTTTACCCAAAATTCAAATTTGAGATCATTAAAACTCAACAATTCACTTATTGCATACAACCCAAGTTGCTTTGTCCTCAGTTTATTTTCTTCTTTTTGATTTAGACATATTTAGTCTTGTTTTTCATCTATTTTCATTTTTTCACTTTTAGTCTTTCTTATAATTGTGAAAAGAAATATAAAAAAATAAGACAAAAAATAAGATAAAAAAAGAATAGTAGAAAAATAAACCACTGTTATTAGTTTCCAACATATTTGATTTGATTTTTTTATTTTATGTCCTCAATCTATTTTCTTATATGCGATTTTATTTTTATCTTCTATTTTTTTTTCCTCAATTTTTTTATTTAGATCTATTTGGATTTTTTTTAACTTTTTTTTACTTATAATTTTTTCTGTAAGAGTTGTACGTATCTAACATATTTAGTCTTATATTTTTATTTTTTATTTTGTTGTTATCAATCTATTTTCCTCTTTTTGATTTAGATATATGTGGTCTTATTTTTTCTTCCATTTTGTCCTCAATTTATTTTCATCTTTTTGATTTAGATATATTTGGACTTTTTTCTTTTATTTTTTTATTCAAGTGTTGTAAGTTTCTAACATATTTGGTATTATTTTTTTCTTTTTTTTGTCATCGGTCTATTTTCTTCTTTTAAGAAAGGTAAAATAGATATATTAGTCAAGTTTCCAACGATGTCAATAATGCGTTTGAGAGAAAAAAAATCATAGAAGATAAGTGATTAAAAAAAGTATAGAGGGTAAGTGATTCAAAGCAAAATCATAGAGGGGATTTTGAATTTTTTTCTATAAACTATGATAAGCGATACATGATAACTTATAAATTTACTATTTAATTCAAATGATAAATATGTGAAATTCTTAAATCTCAAATCAATTTTTTTGAGAAGTTAATATTGCACCAAATTATTAAGTTGATAAAATCTAACGATAAGTTTGAAAAGTAAATTTTCAATTCAAATCGTTTCATATAATCCAAGAATCCACGGTTTACTAAAATAACATGTACATTGAAATAAGGGTCCACTCAAACATAATTACAACATATCAGGCACCATACCAATAAAAATAATGTGATCACAATATCAGGTTTCACACTTATAAATATAATCATAATAATGTTAGGCTCCCCGCTTTCAAATAAACCAACAATTGACTTTCTGTAATGTGCACCCGGTATATTAAACATATAAATGGTAATAATGCAGCTCAATAAATGCGGAAGCTAAGTTTTTCCAATTATGAAACTCATCATATTAACCTAGTGGATTTACTTTTTTTTTTTTAAAATATCGTCTGTATGTAAATTACAATAAATAACTACACTGAATAACCTCATATCATAGATAAGCATTGAGTCATGAAACTACAACATGTAGATCAGACAATATTCTGATACCATATTACAACTCAGGTCTGAAATAAACATAGCTTATACTTATGTGGCATGGACAAACCCATGCTCACCAAATAAAACAACATAGTCAATCATGTCTCAAGTATCAAAGCCATTTAATAATAATCAGGCATAATCATATGAAAATATGGCAATAAGGAAACACGCATCAGATCATCTCAACTCCGACCTCCTGCCGCCAGAGGTCTCAACCTCAGAGGTAACTGTACCTGAAAATGTGCTCCACACGGGGTGAGATCTTTAAAAAGAAATCTCAGTAAGACAAGGGGTCCTCAAGAACCTTTTTGTTGGGAAAACTCGGTTCCCTCAAGCTCGGCTCAGGGGCCTTTTGTGCGGAAGTCAATCAACAAGATCCTGATCTCGGATCTCGGCAATACCTCGGCCTGAACTTCACCAGGTCAGGCAGCGCAGCGGAAAATCAAAACGAAAACAGGAGAGAGAGAAGAAGAACACAACCAGATTTAATGTGGGAAAACCTTCTCCAATGAAGAAGTAAAAACCCACGGGACCTATTCCAGATCAGAAATCCACTATGAAAATAATGGTTACAACGAATCAAATACACCAATGTGGTGGTTAACTCAACCTCTCCAACAATGGTGATAATCAAACTACCCTAGAGATGTTTCACTCAAACTCTCTCTAGAGATCTCTCAAATGCAAAGCATAAAGCTTTACTCAAACAAT